TACGCATGTTATGCTCCCACTGGGTGGCTATAACAGAACAGAAACCTTGATCCCCACCTGCATGGGACCTGTACTCTGCCCAAGTAAACAGAATTCACCCTATTTCCTGCATGGTGGACGTGACACAGTAACCCTGGGACTGGAGGAAGCCCAACCTGATCCACAATAGGACTTGAAGGCTAAGCATAAGTAGGTGGGAAAAGAAAGGGTGACCCAGAGATAATGGCATGCACCAGGCGAGCTGGAGGGAGGAGGAGAAGCTAGCACATAGGCATGCTGACAGCAGGCGTGGAATGTGGATGCTGGGAAAAGAGCCTGGCGACAAAGCACGACCTCTCATGCGGGTCTTGGCCCTGTTATGGAGTCTGGGCTTGTGCAGTGAGAAGTCAGTAACGGCGAGTGGACCCGGGAGTAAGAGGGGCAAAGCCAGCCTTGTTTCTGTTTTGGTAAAGTTCTACTGAAAAGCCGGGCCCCATGCCTGCGTGTCTTCTGTGGCGGCCTGACCCTCCACAGCAGAACTGAGAAGTCAGAACAGACACAGGCTGCAGAGCCAAGATGATGTACTCATTTGGCCACTCAGAAAACATCGGCAGACTACTGCAACAAAAGAGACAGCTTGACCTCCCAAGATGCTCGGCCCACAACAGGGTCGGGGGTGGGGGTCAGGAGCTGGGGTGGCGGGGSAGAGGCTGAGGGCAAGAAAAACACTCGACTGGTCAATCCTGAAACCTCAGCAGGAGAGGGCGAGTCCTGGCAGCAAAGATGGAGAGAAGTAGGCAAATGTTCAGAGAGCAGCCGGGGCTCAAGGCCAGTAACAAGGCCCCGGACACTTTCTCTCATGGTGTTTTCAGCTCTGTTCTGCAYGAAGCCCAAAAAGAGCCTTTCCAACATCTCAGATAGGCAGGGAACTGGAGGGCAAGGAAGAAGGCAAGGAGGCGGCTGAGGTCTAGCAGCAGCAGGAGAAAAGCCTGGACGGGCAGTGAGCTTGGGATTAGACAAGGCAGGTTCACAGGCAGAAAGGATGAATGTCATTTCTGCACACAGAGGCTAGCAAGCTGGTAAGGCCCTCAGGGGTTGGTAGGTGACACGCAGGTCTGTATATTGGGGACAGAGATCCTGACAGAAGACACAGCTTTACAAGAAACCAGAAAGGAGGCCTCCAGGAGAGGCCAGAATGTGAGGAAGGGGTTAGACACAAAGGTTGGAAGACAGGTGTACTCTCAAATCCCCCGCTACTCCATCAGAACCGTCTGCCCCTTCCGAAGCARTGCAGATACACCTTCCCAAGCAGTGCAGATACACCTTCCCAAGCAGTGCAGATACACCTTCCTGGAACAGCCTGACCTGCAGCAGGTTCTCAGTTCCGCCCCAGCGACTGCTCCCACGCCACTCTAGGGCCGCAGGAGCTTGTGGGAGGCAACCGCCCTCTCAACTGCCTATGCCGAGTTTGTTTTGCGTCAGCCTCAACCTTCAAATCCTTCTAAAAACTTTGCCATCCATATTTCTGCAATCTGCACTCCAACCCCGAGTTTAAGATCTTACCCATTAAATTCCACTTCCCTGTTCAGGATGTCATGTCTCTTTGTGTCCCATCATATATCTTCAGATGAAAAGGGTCTACTTAAAATGACTCTYTAGGCCTCTTAAGTATTTATTCTCCTGCCAGGCTTTCATCCACAAAACTGAATAGAAYGTGACAAAACTGAAAAGAATTGAATAGAATGGACAAGACTGACTGCATGACCTCTTCTGATAACCAGTTTCAGTTCATATTCCTATCCTGTCTGTAAGAAATCACAAGAGACCCCACAAATACATTGGGAAAACCTAGCTATCTTAAGTTTATTACATTTTCTCAGCTGCCAGTCCAGCTGCTCACCAGATAGAAATCAGCCTGACAAAACCTATTTTCAGGGGCCCTGACAACCACTGCTTCCTACCCTGTTAGTGGCTTTTCCAGAACAATGCTGAGCAAGACAGTTCACCTTACAGAATGCCCTCTTGGGAACATCAGAAGGGACACCAGCCCATGCCTAATTTCCAGGCACCTCTGCTATGCGACAGGACACTGAACGGCCGCACAGGGTTTCTCTTCCAAGCCATCTSGTGCAACGTCACAGGAGGACCTGGCATTCCTGAGGATGGCGAATGACCTCTCATCTCTTCACGGACCTCCATCCTCCGCTGCTCTCACCCAGGTTCAGGCCACCCTTTGCACTCTCAGCTCTGCATGACCACAGCTGACCTGCTCTCTCTGGCAGTCTGCAATGCTTCACCGTAAGCAGCAGACCCACCGGTCTCTCACCCTGAGCTAGAGCATGTGCGTGTGCACACCACACCACAAATGCTTCTACAGCAGCAATTCCCCCACCAGGCACCCCTGCACGCTTGGCCTTTCTTTATTCTCTTCCATAACCCTTTTAAATGCCGTATTTTGGAAAATTTCACATATTCCCCAAAGGGAAAAACCAGTAGAGTGAATTCCCACGAACCCCAGCTCGGCTTCAGTAATTATCAATGTTATCACAAATGTTTCATCTGTTTTTTTCTCCTGGAGTATTTTTAAATAAACAGCAGACAATGATGTCCATGAAACTCTGTACCAGGATCACTTATAACTGTCACACAGAAGTACATTTCGGGGCTGGGGCTGTAGTTCAGAGGCAGAGCACTTGCCTAGCATGTGTGAGGCACTGGATTCAATCCTTAGCACCACATAAAAATAAAACAATAAAGGCATTCTATCTACAATTACAAAACAAAACAAACAAACAAAAAAAAAAGAAGTACATTTTGGAGTACATCCAACCATCCTGAGCTCTTCCCCCTTTCCACAGCTTCAGTGGGGGAACTGAGCCTCTATTTCCCTGGCCTTGTGGAGGCCACCTGGGGAGGCCTAGCACACGCCATCCCTGCCTCACACGTCCCACTGTGTACACAGTGATGGTGCCACTCCTGCAGGAATGAAGAAGTGGGAAAGGACACAGCAAGGTCCAGGCATTGTCCACCTTGATGTCACTGACTTTATTCCCTGTGGTCACGTGTCCTTTGTTCTTTTTTAGAAAAGGGAAAAGAAGATGGGTGGGAAAAGGGGCTATTTTCAAAGGACCAGCCTCTTCTCAATCCTCCTGTCCAGAACTTGGTGTTGTTTTAATATAAGCTGAACCTTAGAGAAAGGGAATAAGGGAATCTTCTTTTTTCCAGGAGGGAAAGCTATCAAGAAGGAAAACAGAAAACGAAGAGGCGTGCTCACCCAGACCAGGGACCCACAGCAACTGCCTCTTCTTGGCTTCCCTCCTCCTCATCTACAACACGGCTCCTCCCAACCCCTGCAGGAGGGGGCACCTTCCAGGCTCTGCTCCCAGATGCTGGGCAACTCCTAGGCAGGACTATAGGTATGGAGACCCTCAATACTTACTTGATAGTCCGGTGCTGTTGATGTTTTGGTATTCCGAATAAAAAACTGCTTTTTCAAGCATTCCTAGGAAAATTACAGCTGCAATCCAGAACTGAATTCTTAATATATCTTTCCAGTAACAGGCAGACCACGTCAGCCAGAGTATACCATATAATATATAAACAATACACATCACCATGTAAAACTGTAGAAAGAAAAGCAATTTTAGTCAGTTATAGCTTCTAACCACTTGGAAGTTGACGTTTCTACATTTGAATATTCAATCCTTTACTTTCCAGTCACTTTGGAACCAGAAATACAGGATATGTCAAAGCATTAGCTACCAGGGCTTGGGATAGAGCTCAGTGGTAGAGTGCTTGCCTCACATGCACAAGGTCCTGGGTTCAATCCCCAGCACCAAAAACAAAAACAAAAACAAAACAAAACAAAAGCATTAGCTACCAATGATAGTACCCTTACACTCTTAAAATTTTTACTTCCCAATTAGGACACAAAATTCATTTTTCAAAAGGAAAAAACAAAGAGAGAAATACTTACAATCATCAGAGGCCAATCTGATGCAGAGATATATCCATGAGGCCCCATCATTGAAAGAGAAACTGGTAACATTAGGATCAGAGAAGAAGAAATTTAAAAATTAGTTAACAATCTTAAGTCTTAAAATACAATCATGCACCAATTATAATAAATAAATAAATAAATAAAAATAGCTGGGTGAAGCTGCGTACCCCTGTAATCCCAGTGTCTGGAGAGGCTGAGGCAGGAGGATTGTGAGTTCAAAGCTAGCCTCAGCAAAAGTGAAGCACTTAGCAACTCAGTGAGACCCTGTCTCTAAGTAAAATACAAAATAGGGCTGGGGATGTGGCTCAGTCGTCGAGTTCCCCTGAGTTCAATCTCCAGTGCCAAAAACAAACAAAACAAACAAAGATCACTTCCAAAAAGGCTTCAAAAACACAAACCATGCCAACAAATGCTCAGTTTTTACCTTCTCATACGTTGGATGTATGGATGATTAGTAACTATTTGATTATGTAATCTTATCAAGCAAAATACCTTTAACTTGAACTAAAACTGATCCTATACAGAAAGCAAAGTAGTACTAGTTACAAACCAGACCCGCAACTGGCCCCGTCGTGATGGCTGAACTCACTGAGGACCCCTCCCTTCATGCAATGTGGCATAAGCTGCTGAGCTCAAGCACCTGGGCTGGGTTCTGCCTGAGGAGATGAGCAGCATGCCGTGTACAGTGCAGGACCCAGGGCCAGGCAGGGTTCCAGCTCCTAGCCTTCAGGGACTCGATGCTGCCCATGGTGTCAGGGAAAAGGGACAACACCTGGGAAAGGGGCGAAGGGCTGGTGTGTTAATGCCCCCCAAAATCCATGTGCTGAAACCTACTCCCCCCTGTTGGGACACTAAGAAGCAAGATGGTGAGCTGAGGTGCAGTTCAGCCGCAAGGCCCTGGAATCCATCTCCAGCGCCAAAAAAGAAGAGGGCGGGCATCACTCAATGGATTGATACCTTGGAAAAGGGTTGGAGGGAACAGGTGAGGCTCCTCTAGCTGTTCTGCCCCCTCCAGGAGAGGAGGAGGCATTCGCTCCCTCCTGCCAGATGAGGACAGAGCAAGATGCCACCCTACATGCAGATGTAGACCCTCACCAGGCACCAAACCTACTACGGCCTTGATCTGAGACTTCCCAGCCTCCGAGACTATGAGGAAAGGAACCACTATTACTTTTTGTGAATCATCCAATGTTGGGTATTCTATTGTAGCTGGGGGGCAGGGCAGGGTCAAGGTCCCTGCTCCTTCTGTCTGGACTATCTGCCCAGGATGCGGTCCCCATCAGGAAGCCACTGCTCCAGCCTCTGGGTGAGTGCCTCCTCAGTGCTGGTGGACACTTTGCTTCACTGACTTCACCTGCTCCTCTCTCCCCACTGGAATAAGCCCTTCCAGGTCCCCAGTGGCAGAATCAGAATAATGTGCCCAGGGCTGCCACAGGCTATTAGCTACCATTGTGATCCAGCAGTCACCCACTCTGGAGAACATTAGCCAAGGTCATTCTAGCCAGTGTCCACTCCCTAGAAAACAGTTTATTGTGAGCCTGCTCTCATGGGGCACCAGGGAACTAGAGCTTTAAGAGGCACTCAGGGTCGGGGCAAAGGCGGGTGTCACAGATTGTAGAAGCCACAGCTGTCAGGCTACTTCCACTCTTAGGCTGCAGAGAGAGCCTCTCTAGAGATACATTTATTTTTGGGCAGTCCTGGGGATCAAACCCAGGGCCTCATGCACTCTAGGGAAGTGCTCCACCACTGAGCTATATCCCCAGCCCTTGTTATTTTTTGACCCAGGTCTCACTAAGTTACCCAGGCTGTGTTTGAACCCACAATCCTCCTGCCTTGGCCTCTCACGTTAGTGGGATTAGAGTGTGTGCCACCACCCCCAGAAAACGGATCCTTTAAAATWCATTTTTCAAATAACAATCATTAAAACCCCTGATGACAACTGTTAAAAGTTGYATACCCATTTCCATATGTTAAGATTTTTTTGATCTGACAGGATGGAAAAATTTATATTGCTCTTTGAAGTTTGAAATTTCTTAAGTTTATCTGAAATAGCTGGACGTAGTGGTGCATGCCTGTAATTCCAGTGGCTTGGGAGGGATCCCAGGGGATCGTGAGTTCAAAGCCAGCCTCAGCAACCTAACAAGGTCCTAAGCAACTCAGCAAGACCCTGTCTCTAAATAAAACATAAAAAAAGGATATGGGGATGTGGCTCAGTGGTGGAGCATACCTGAGTTCAACCCCTAGCACCAAAAAACAAACAAAAAAAACCCTGAAATATATACAATTATTTGTCAATTAAAGAAAAATTCATTTTATAAAAAGTTATTTCCTGGGCTGGGGTTATGGCTGAATTGTACGGTGCTCGCCTCACATGTGTGGAGCACTGGGTTGAATCCTAAGCACCACATAAATWAATAAAACAAAGGTATTATGTCCATCTACAACTAAATGTTYTTTAAAAAAGTATCTTTGGTTAACAATAAAATTTTCAATCCATTAAAAAAAGTTACATTAGGTACGAAATTTTAAATCCTCAAAATGCATGCCTAACAGATCCAATTCTGAAAGAGATTTTTAACGGAGAATGTAGATTCAGATCAGTGATGATGAAGAATACAGAAAACGCAGACAGTAAAGAAACGTGTATGCAGTGTAATTTACCATTCAAATTCCAGCTGGCGTCTGTTTTTTCCGTTTTAATAGAAACAATAAAGATGTGAAATCCATCTCTCTGTGTTCTGGCTACAATATCCTGAAATGGGGGAAAAAATCCTTGAGGTTACTCTTAACAAGCTACTGTGTAAGACAGAGTTGAACAGTTGTTCACCATACGTTAAAACAGTTCCTGGTAACTAAGTTGGTTCACTTTTTAAAAACACAAACAGATAAAACAGCAAAAAGGAGGGGTAGGCAGCAAAGGACAAATATTGCTCCCTTTTTTTTTTTTTTAAACCACGATCTTCCCAGACTCAAAAGGGGCAGAGGAAAAAAAAAAAAAAGGCTTTTCTCACTCTTCAACCTACTCTACCTCTTATTTCTATAGGCTCCCCTTAAATTATGATCTGTTGCCAGGTGTGGTGGTGCACGCCTGTCATCCCGGCTGTTTGGGAGGCTGAGACAGGATTCAAAGCCAGCCTCAGCAAAAGTGAGGCACTAAGCAACTCAGTGAGACCCTGTCTCTAAATAAAATAGGGCTGGGGATGTGGCTCAGCAGTGGAGGGCCCCCGAGTTCACTTCCCAGTACCAAAAAAATAAAATAAAATAAAAAAATTTGATCTGTTTATTTAATATTACATGAATATTTTTTCTTAATATAACTTCTCATATTTTACTCTAATATCATCAAGCATTGTTTGAATTAAATGTGTTCTTTAAACACTGAATTGAGGAAGAAAGGAAGTCAGATAACATTGTCTGAAAGGAGTCAGACTGAGTATTGTGGCCCCTTACAGGGGACCTCACAACCAAGGGACACAAAAATCCATGAGTCCATATAGCCCTTATATAAAATGGCATGGTGTTTGCATATAACCTACACACATCTTCCTGCATGCTTAAAAATCATCTCTATATGATTTATAATGCCTAATGAAATGTAAACACTATGCAAATAGTTGTTCTAATGTATTGTTTAGGGGAAAATGRCAAAAAAAAAGCTCTGTATATATTCAGTACAAAATTCATTTTTACAAATATTTTTGATCTGCAGTTGATGTGAGGACCAACCACATGTAGACTAAAGGATTCCGAGGTCAGCAGCCTGCTAAGGAACAACACTGCCCACTGTACTCACTAGGAACCTCCCTATGGCTGCACACAATCCCACACATGCCACTCCTGAGCAGATCCTATTCCTTTTCTTCTCTGCGGAAGGCGGTTTGTGTAGTATCCTGGCCACCCCAAAATACCCACACTGCCTGACTCCCCCCACAGTCTCTCCTCCTCTCCCTCCCTCCTGGGATCAACAGGTGAGCTCTCCACCACTGAGCCACGCGCCCAGCCCTCACGTCCATCAGTGGTTCCTGTCTGCGTGTCCTTAATGAGGACGGCAGTCCCCTGCTATGCTCTCTTACACATTGAGAAGGGGGATTCCACTCTTCAAGAAAAGAAAGGCTGCAGAGAAGTTAATCTTAAATCACAACTGTAAAGAGATCTTTAAACAAAGACAGAAACAGCATATGCCAATTTATATAGATGCTTTTCTTTCTGATTTTCATAACACTGATCTCTAACTACCTGTTTACTGTCTTTTTTTTCTCAATCTTACTATAAGTTTTGCACATTTGATTTAAAGACAAATAAAATGGTTTACCATCGATCCTTCCTGATTTGAAGCATTTCTSATACCTGTTAGTTCTTTATTCTGGAAAAAGGGGAAAAAAGTAAAATAACCCCATTATATATTGTTGCACGTCAATGGGTAAAAGTAATTTTAGGAAGTAAGAAAAATATGTTAGAATAAAGATTTAAAAACCAAACACTGGAGAACATCCTCTGAAAATAAGTAACAAAATTCTGCTTTTTACAAACACTTTCTTCACAGTGTGGTTACTGCTGGATAGTGGTTATTGTTGGGGGTACTGGTTCAGGACTTCATACCCACCCAGTGGATACCAAATCCACATATCTGTATATCCCTCATATAAAATAGCATGGTGTTTACATATAACCTACACAAAATAAAAGCAGGTTCTGGGTACTAAAATAGTCTGTTCTTGATCTGGGAGTATAAAGGTGTATTCAGTTTTGAAAATTCATCCACATGTCCTTATGTGAACTTTTCTCTGTTTATACTCTTGCACAAATTTTAAAAAGAACTCTTCTTCAAAGATTTACTAAAGACACATCTTCATTTTAGGATTTTCAGAACAAAATTACCCCATAACCTCCCGATCCATGAAGACTACTTAACATTTGCCCTCTAATGCCCCACAGGAGAGGGGATGTGAAGAGGAGGGTGCCTGTGTGTGAAGTGCTGCTGACAGGCCATGATGGATCACTGATTTAACAGCACAGAGGTCACTGGTGACCTTGATGAGGGCTCATCCCATGGAAGGACAGGGGCAAAGGACTGATGACAGTGAGAAGAACAAATGGGAGGTAAATTGAATCCAGCGGATCATAAAAGGCTCTGCAAGGCTGTTGCTACAAAGGGCTACAGAGAAAGGAACAGGATCTTTACACGTAACACTACTACACACAGAACGTCTAAAACTAGAATCAAGTTCCTCCATCAAGATACTGACAGAACTTTACTACTGACAAAACTGTTTACTACAAATAAAACAGACTCAGCTTTAACACAGCTGATATTCAAGTTCAATGAGGGAAACACCTGTAAATCATTGTTGCAATCTAAGTCTGTTTAACACAGCTGTTACTCACRTTCAATGAGGGAAACACCTGTAAATCACTGTTGCAATCTAAGTTTTCATTTTTTGTTGTCCAGCAGTTGATGTTCTTCAAATACGCACAAAAGTCTTCTTCAAGTTCGTGTTTTTGGGACATCTCCTACCCAAGGTAAAATTCTATGTTATAATTTATTTCAATGCTTCTTTTCCTAGAAGATAATTAACACTTAATATATAAATAATACCAAGAGTTTATTCAGTTTGGAAGACTTGGAAATATGCAGGGAAAAAAAAGCAAAAGAGATAAAGTTTTGAACATAATTCTAAGTACAACTGAGGTTACACACAGCATTTTAGCCATCCCAATGTATTCAGATACAATAATATGTAACCTATTTATGTAGGTATGTGATGGGTATCCCATCACATACCTACATAAATAGGTTACATATAGCCTTGAAAATGAGTGCTCTACTATTGAGCTCCAGACTTTTTATTTTCAGATAGAGTCTTGCAATATTGTCCAAGCTGATCTTGAACTTTTAATACCCCTGTGTTCACCTCCTAAATAGCTGGGATTACAGGTGYATGCCACTGCACAGAACTACAATCAATTTTTTCCCATTTTTATTGGCACACTGTAGTTGGACATACTGATGGAATTCATTGCATAACCATAATCTTGCTGTATGAAAATGACTGATTAGGATGCCACCACAAAGAAATCGTTCATAGGAAACTAGAGCATAATTTGTCCTTGGCCAACTTCTACCTTATCCTATGTATAAGAGATTTTACAAAGAAAATAGCACTAAATTACAAAGAAAGGTAAAACAAACAGCCACCAAAAGCAAAGGTATAACCCAACTGAACACAGAGGAGGTGCTTACAAGCCTGAGGTTCCTGCATCCTGAACAAAGGCATAAGCCAAGCTCCTGATGGCAGCGCTCAGCCACTGAGAATGCTGGTTCTCATCTGGCACATGGTGCACGCCTAAAATAACAGAGCTTGAGGCAGATGCATCCAGAGTTTGAGGCCAGYCTCACCAATTCAGTGAGCCCCTTAGCAACTTATCAAGAACCTGTCTCAAACTGAAAAAAATACAAAAGGGCTGGGGATATAGCTCAGTGGTAAAGTGCTCCAGGGTTCAAACACCAGTACAAAAAAAAGGTTCTCACAGACCAAATATAGGCCAATTTGAGAAAATAAATTTTTAAAAAGTAGTAAYAGATTATAACCTATATAACAAAACAAAATTATTATGTACATTCTGATGACTGGGTTATTGACAGGCAAGTAAAACGGAAAATCATTATGTACATTCTGATGACTGGGTTATTGACAGGCAAGTAAAAAGAATGCTAAAGTAAATGACGAATGTTTGATGAAAAGATAGGGTATTTACAGTGTCAAAATCACTTTCCCAATCAGGCATACTGGTATACGCCTGTAATTCCAGCAACTCATGAGGCTAAGACCAGAGGACTGCAAAGTTTGAAGACAGCCTGAGCAACTTGGAGAGACCCTGTGTTAAAATCAAATTTAAAGAGTGCTGGGAATGTAGCTCAGTGGTAAAGCACCCCAATACCAAAGGAAAAAAGTGTCCCTACAAATTATTGCTAATAACAAAGAGAAAAGTAGTAACTTTATACTGAAGAAGGCTGGCAGATGCCTCCTTAACTGACCAAATAACATCACCAAAAATGGACAAAGCAGGATTCTGTGGCATTCTGGCCAAAAGTAAATAATCTGAATCTGATAAGGTAGTATCAGAAATACACAAACTAAGGGGTATTTTGTAAAAATAAATGTGTTCACACGCTTCAAAAATAAAATGTCATTCTAGATTATCAGCAATGAAAAACAAAAACAAGGAAGGATGATGCGCTGTGATGCTGGACATGGCCCTTTCCCGCTTCTCCCCAAACCACAAAGACACGACTGGGACACAGGGGAAGTGCAACAAGGTCTAATAACACATCAGGTGGCACCACATCCATGTTAAATTTCCCTAATTAAATAATTATACTGTGTAATCTACGTGAATACCTGTTCCTAAGAAATATATTGAAGAGCTTAGTGTGAAGGGATAAAAAACTGGGAGATAAAGTAAAAAAGGCAGTATTCAAGGAAAGGGACATTTATTCTGAATGAAAAGAGAATACAAATAAAATATGGGAACACAAGCATTGTTCATGATACAAGCCAAACAGATATTGGAGAAGGTGAAAATGAAAATGAAGCTAAAATGAAATGATGCCAGGTGACCATCCAGAGAGCCACCTAGGACCCATCCGTCAGGGAGACACCAGAGTCCTGGGCCCTCAGGCGGGAAGAACCAGGCGCGGAGGCCTTCCTGAGTGTGGCCTCTTCCTCCCTCTCCCTCACTCCCTCCCATCTTCCCATGTTTCCTTCTCCTCCTCACCCTTCTCTGAGATAGACTTGAACTCACTGAACCTACTTGTTCTCACAAAGTTCTAGGTTCCCTAAAGCTAGTATTTTAAAAGAAGTAAAACTTAAAATGTCTTTCTCAAGTGTCAGTTGATTTTCACTTGTGTGTAACCCACAGTCCCTCTATCCATGGCCCCTACAAGCCTACCTTCAACATTTACTGACATTTTTGATAAGAGACAAGGCAACCATAAGGCATATAGTCCTCTCAGAATGCATACACTTCTGACTTGTTGCTTAAGTCCCAACATTAACCTGGGGCACTTCTAAAATTACAATCTCCTTTTCTAGCCTCCTCCTGATAAGCTAATAAATTTTTATACTTAAAATTTTTCTTTTGTAGCTTTTTTTCAGAGATGCAAGGCTTACTTAGGAAAGTAGAGACACATTCCAGGGAGTACGTGGGCCACCTGCAGAGGAAGAGGCGGCCCCTCACAGCTTTGCTCACACCGAGACTGCACTTTACTTACTTCCAGCTCAGGGTACTCGTTGTGACAGGTATGATACTTCAAGGTCCACTCTATGGTAAACTTCACAGGCCTCAGACAACTGAATGACTTAACTGTTTAGAAAAAGAAAGTTTCATATTATATTAATAATGTATAGTCTAGCATAAACTTAAGGCTTTGAGAATGCGATTTTAAATAGGAGACTTTAATGTAACAATGAGTAAAACATTAACTTCCCCAGAAAGTCATTGTGAAATCACAGATACATTCATTGAATTATTACAGCTAACCAAAAGTTACTATACCACTGTCACTGTAACTCCAATGTCAGAATCAACCCACTAGCCTGCTATGTGAAGGCAGAACCTACATCAGTCTAAAATGTTATTACTCAATCATTCAAAATATACTTAAGTGCCTTGTTGTACAGGGCACTTGTACATTACGGTGGTAATGGTAAAAAAGAATAATTCCTATCCATGACCTAGGAGGTGCTGGGGAGGGAAGGATCAACAAGCAGGTACTTGGGACAGCCTCAGAGGCTGACAAAGGGGTGTGGAGGAGCACTGGGCAGGGCACCTGATGCCATTCAACAAAGCTTGAAGTATAGTTATGTGGAGGTGAGCTGGAGGGGGAGGAGAACTGGAGCAGACCCAGAGAGGAGGGGAGGCGATACATGCAAATGCCCAGGGTGAGCGTGAGCATGACCTGACCACCTCAAGAAGGGTTGCTAGGATCAGAACACAGATGGAGAAAGGGAAGAGTAGAGGGCGGGGGAAGCTCAGGAGAGCTCTTACACCCTGCCACAACCTCATGCAGCACTCCAAGTGTACAATTCACAACACCCATCATCGAAACAAAGACTCTAGACACACAATACAGGAAGAGCTGTCCTGTAGCCTTCATGGATAAATCAGTCCAAATGACAAAGATGAGGGACAAGCAAACAAGCATGTGACAGAGTGTTTCACTAGCTCGAAGATGTCAAGGAAAAGCTTGGACTGCTGAGAAGGAACGGGATGCAGAAAGGAACCCAGGAGGAAAGCAGAAGAATATTCAAAATGAAGCACTGAATGAAGAGTGATCTAGTGTGCGATGGAAGCTCTGGAGAGAGATGGGCGCCATGTCTGAAGAGTGGAGAGGCCTTTTCCCATGTGGATGTCCACTCGTTGCTCCCTTCTCCTAGGAACAACCCTGCACCTTAGAAGAAAATCAAACCCTTGTGCTCAGGTTTGTCTCTTGAGCTCTCTGGTCTGTTTCACGGTCTACACATCCATTCCTACTCCAGAACTACACCATGAATCTACAGTTTTGAAATCAGACAACAAAAGCCCTTCAACCTGGTTCATTTTCAAAACTGTATTGGCCATTCCAGGTCTTCTGTATTTTAATATAAATTTTAGAAACAGGTAGTTAATTCTGTAAAAGAGCCTTCTTAACTTTGATTGGGATTAAATTGACTTGATTGATCAATCTGGAGAGAACTGACAGTGCCTTGTTAGCCTATCAGGTTGAAGAAGTTTCCTTCTATCTCTAGTTTTCTGAGTTTTTATCATGAACGGGTGTTGAATTTTTTCAAATGCTTTTTCTAGATATAATGAGGTCAACAGCTGGTGAATTGCACTGAGATATTTTCAACACATGCTCCACATGACTGCATCCTGAACTGGGTAGCAGAAGAGGAGTCACCTAACAGAAAGCCAGACGTCTGATGTCCCATAACAGCAAGGACACATCTAAGAGCTGAGACCACACTTAACTCTGCAGGCACTAAAACTTGTTCTGTGAGAACACCAACACTGGATCCTATCCTGTTAACGGATAAACTAGACTGCCAGTTTACTCACTCTCAACAACGAGGAGCTGCAGAGTGGACATGCATTGATGGCCAATTCTTCCCTGGAAGCGCCCTGGTGACAGGAAGGCTGCCTGGTGAGCGCAGCASCAGGACAAAGGTTCAGGTGGGTGCTTCCCCCACAGGGGCCAGCCACATTATAGCTCTAGCTGTGGTCCAGCACTCTCTCTCCCTACAGCGCTGCTGGACAAAGTCACTCAAAGTCTGACTAAATCCCAGCCGGGTTACACTCTGCTCTTGCATCCTCTGTCCTGCCCCATTCCTTCTTCAGATATGCTAAAATCACTTTTTGACTACAGTCTATTCTTAAACTGTCTTAGGCATTATGCAGAGAAGTTTTAAGACACCTGCAGTGGACCACATTATTTCCTCCCCCATATAGTCTCTGTCAGCCCCAGTCAGAGGTTGAAAGCCTGTTTGCCTAGTTGGAGACATAAATTCACTGAAGCAAACAGAGGGCAGAACTTTTTCTCACCCACCCAAGACTTCAACTTCCTCCTCACATGCTGGTCACCTGGATGACTATGAAACCAGAACTTCTCTAAACCACCTCTGCTCCCTGTCTGCTGGCTGGCCTAGCTTCCGGGGGAGAGACCTACGAGTTGCAGACTCACCCCTAACACATGATCGAGGAAAGGGGCCTAATTTTGGATCTTGGGGAAGCCAGTTTGCTTTACCCTAAGAATATGCTTTATCCCGACTCTTTAATTCTGGTAACGAACTTTCCTAGAATTCGACCACAGTAAATAGGATCCATTAAAAGTACACAAAAAATGTGGGTACAACAGTAATTACACAGAGAAGACAGCACTTAACAAATATTTTCATTTTCATAAGTCCTAGAACTCATAGTGAAAATGGTAGTATCCAGCTATTTTTTTTGTACTGAACCATGCATACTTAGAAAATTTCAGGAATATTAAGGGCTTATCACAATCACATTTCACGTATTCAAAGGATTTTTACCTTTTTTTTGTGTGTGTGATGGTGCTGGAACCCAGGGCCTTGTGTATGCAAGGCAAACACTCTACCAACTGAGCAAAACCCTAGCCTGGATTTTTATCTTTTGAAATCTGGGACTCAGTCAAATATCACATAAAACAAATATTTTTTTGCTGAAGGCTACGTTATTAGACCTTAATTATAATTTTTAAAGAATGATTCATATTCCATTTTCTGAAGGATGAGAAAAAAACCATTCAGTAATAACCAAAGTCTGACTGAAACCAAACTCTAAAATGTCAGGATCACTTAAAAACAAAATATTTGCTTAGCTTTCTAAATATGCTGTTACATTAGTTTACATTAAATTAATGGATTAACTTATAATATAGATGTTTATATTAGTATATTATTTAGTTATGCTTACCAGAAAACCTGATCTCAGTAGAGTTAAACATAGTTTTCCTAAATATCAAGGGTCCTGATTTCTAAAATGAAAAACAAACATAAAAAGATCTGGTTAAATTTTTTTCTCTACTGTTTGAATAGTTTTACCCTACAAAATAGAGATCTCTGATCCTTGAACTCCTTTGTCTAACCAGAGAGAATCTTTTAAAATTTAAGTCTGATCACATCACTCACTTGCTTAAAGTCCTGTCTAGCAAGCCTATTCTGCACTTGCCCTCAGTGAGAATCAGAAGTGCCCCAGCTGGGGTGGGGGCAGAGCTGGGGCACTGTGCAATCAGTACGACTGGGATGTGACATGCAGGGTCTATGCAACTGCATGCTGCTGGCTTGGTTTCAAAGTGAAAGTTGCTGATGGGCCTTTGTTTTAATCATGTATTTATATGCGGTACTGAGAATTGAACCCAGTACCTCACATATTCGAGGCAAGCACTCTATCACTGAGCCACAACCCCAGCCTGCATCAAAGTGAATGTACTTTTGATAAACTATCTCCTTCCCAAACTGTTATGGCTTCCTGTTGTAATTTCAACATACYTAAACTCGAGGCTCCTATCCCGGGCATGCTGCCACAGACATAATCATCCACTCATGAATCAATTGTCCCTAATATTGCATGAGCTTCTTAAGAAATGGGGCAGTGTGTAAAATTCATCTTTGTAACAACAATGACAGGTCTAGTGCAAGGCACACTGGCTGTTTGATAAACTTAATCAAAAGAACATTTCTTGATGGATTTGCAGTACAAATCAAAGAAAGCCCCACTCCTTTTTCCTTTTCTGAGGGGAGAATTTTGACCACCTAAAATGGGGAAAAAAAATCAGCCCACTTTTTGCAAAGATGGCCCTATGGACCCACCACTACTTGCCAGTTACATAAGAATAATGTTAGCCTAATTGAATTATGTGGCATCCAAGAAACAAAACTTCTCTTCATGGATCAAAGTCACTCTTCCCCTGTGGCCTTTGGATTGTCACCATCCAACACACAGGCAAATAGCTTTGGAGATATGCTCAAGTAGATTAACAGTGTGCACAGTAAATTTGCTTCAGTTTACGATGACTTTCTTAATTGCTTCCACTATAGGAACAGCAGGAAACCATAAGTGTGGTCTACTAAATTTTGTTTCTTACTGTCCAGAGAAATTTAAAAAAGCAGATACATACAGGTGCACAACACAGAGCACAAACTTAGAAAAACCCTGGAAGAAATAGTTGCATTGGGTCTGAAAAAAAAACAGAAAAATGCCCACATTTGTTCCTCTGTGTAGCTTTTGTTCATGGCGGGGGTGGGGGGCGGTTTGAGGAAATTAAAATGTAAATTTCATCTTTAGTTGGACATCATTTCGATGCGTGTGGAAAATACTCATCACAAACAGAGCTGGATGAGTCATCTGATCTCAGAAAAGGAAATAATGCTTCTTCCCGACTTTCTGTCTCTCTTTTGCAAGATTTTCCATAATTCTACCCCTGCTTTCCTCCCACAGCATCTCCCCTAACCACAGGACGCCAGTTCTGCAACAGGGACGTGTCCACCCACCCATTCCTGCAGCCGGCCCCTCCAAGGCTCCAGAACCACGGCCCCGCCCCGCGCCACAAGGTCCCGGAACTGACCCGACGGCCAGGGAAAGGCCAGGGAGGAGGGGTGACCTGCGCGACCCCTCTCTGATCTGAGAAGGAAAGGCGGAGGCCAGCGCGCTCTGCTCAGTCTGAACAGCAGGCCGCAGACGCTGCGCCCGCCCGGCGGGTCGGTGGCCCAGGTGCGCGGGGTCGCCGAGACTCGGGCTCCGGTTCGAGTAACCAGGACGTGACCCCAAGCCTGGGGGCGCTGGGTAGGGACAACCGCCCGGCAGGACCAGCCTGCTCTTCCTGGGCGCGGGTCGGGCGCCCCTGGCCGCCGCTGCCGCGGACAGAGGCCCCGGGCGCCTGGGGCCCGGCGGGGCCAGGGGAGCAGCCCCGGCCMGTGGCCAGCGCGCCCCGCGAGGCCCGGGACCCTGACGCGGCCCCCACCGCCCACTTACGTCGTCGACCGCCTGGGTCCAGAGCCCGAGCTCCGGGACGGCGCGCACGGCCGCCGGGGCGCAGCACAGCAGGCAGAGGGCGGCGCGCAGCAGCGGGGCCGCGGCGAGCSGGCGGCGGGCGGCCATCTTGGCGCGGGGGCGCACCTGGCGCCCCGGACGCCCGCCACGCCCCGCGCCGGCACCTGCCGCAGCTCCGCCCCAGGCGGGCGGGCCCGCGGCGGGCAAGCGGGGCTCAGGCCGGGACGTGGGGAGGCGCGGCGCGAGCCCGGGACCGGGGCCAGGGCCGGGCCAGCTCGAGGAACCCGGCAGCTAGGACGAGGGGGAAGGCGGGCTCAGGCCGGCCCGAGCGGACGGGGCGGGGCGACAGGAGCGCAGGGGCGGGCCGCGCCGTGGGGGCGGGGCGCCGGAATGGGGCGGGGACCTGCGTGCTGGCGGGGCGGGGCGGGGGCGTGGATTGAGGTGTGGGCGGGTAAGGTCGTGGGGGCAAGGCCGGGAGGTGGAGCCCGCCAAAGATCCCACGCTCCTGTCCTGTCAAGGAGAGCTGTGGATGGAGTGTGGGTTCAAGTTCTGCTCCAGGTGTCTCAGTCTCTTGCATCCTATTCCCCTGCCCCTGCTCCAAGTCTCTCAGCTCTAGGCAAGCAAACCCTTTTGGAAATTTATGTAGAAGAACCAGCAAATTGCTTTGAGGCCGGGGCCAGTTGAACACAAGCCATTGTGTTGTGAGCATTGATGTGGATAGCACAGTATATAATTTTTCAGAAAAAATGCACGGCAGGGCTCAGATCTGCCTTATTGTGCACCTTGCCTGGGATTTCTACTGTGAAAACCGAATTCTTGGCTTGGTGTCAATGAGAACTAGCTCATACATTATCAGATGTAAGTAACATCCAGTAGGATGACAGAATCCTGGTCTACCAATTGTCATTTACATAAAGTAGGGTTTGTTTATTGTCAAGAAGCACTGACTGCCTTACTAGTCACCCAAATCACTCTCAGTAATGATAAGACTCAGAGTCATTTTCAGTAATTACCTGCCGCATCCTGGAGATTGCCTGTGCACATGTGCCCTTCCAGAAAGCAATGCAATCAATTCTAAGTTAGCAGGGGAAACTGAGTCACGGGATCACATGGGAACATCCGCTGAGGAGGTAAGTCGAATAAGAGAAGACAAGATAACATTTAAGTTAAGGCTGCAGCAAGAGTTAAGTGTGGGAATAGTTCAGGATTAGTTAACTGGGAGCCTTTGGTAGGTTTGATGTGTTACACTGAAGAGAGAAGGTCTGTATCAAGGGCGGGAGGAATGGAAAGACCTTTCAGGAGGCTGAAGTTGGTGTGAGATGGGAGGGGCAAGACTGGGCATCTTTAACAGTACCAGTACCATAGCATACAGGGACCCCTGCACAAAGTCACAAAGATGGAGCTTTAGTCTAAGAATATTGGGAAGGCAATGATGATTTTTGAACAAAAGGAATGAGATGACCAGAAAAATCATTTTGGTTGTCATATGAAACCCGTGCTAAGATGGGCAATGGGATGGCTGGGTAAGAATATTCCAGTAATTTAAGGATGAAATCCTTTGCTTGCAGCAACATGGATGGAACTGGTGGATATTAAGGAAAATAAATCTGGCATAGAAAGATCAATATCTTGTCACTCATATATGGAAGCTAAAAAAGTTGATCTCATAAAAATAGAATAATAGTGGTTACCAGAGGCTGGGAAGCATGGGGAAGAGGGGGCAGAAAGGGAGATTGGATAATGGGATATGAAAAACTAGAAGAGAAGAATTTAAAGGTTCCCAACACAAAGAACTGAAAATATTTACCAAGGTGGAAATGCTCATTATTAGACTGGTTTGACTAACGCACATTATATACATGTGTGAAATTGTCACACAGACTGTGTAGTGTTTAATCTACCTGAATTCTCCCTTAAACCTCCACCAGGATAGTGCAACCAAAAACCCATAGACAGTATGTTCCTCACAGTCAGGAAAACATATACCACGAAATCTCAAATCTAAGTGGGTGCTATCAGCATTTAGAAAGGAAGAATCAGGGGAAACAAATAATCAGATGGACCTGAACACAGAAGAATCCCGCCTACCAGCCCGTATTCTGGAAATCCAAAAAACAGCAGCCTGAGCCTGGAGAGGGAAGTCAGCAGGACCCAGGGAGGGAGGGCAGAGGGGCATAAGAAAAGGGCCAATTGTCCTGGGCCTTGGAAATTCTTCACCTGACAAGTGAAGCTTCCATCTAAAGCAAAGTCCAGCAGCCAGAGAGTTCACCAGAAGAGGAATTAAAGTTCAGCAGGACAGGGCCAACAGAAGAGAAGGCAAAGGAGCACACCCAGCAAGTACAGGAGCTGAGGGGGGCCAACAGACCTGAGCAGAGCCCAGAGACCTGAGCAGACTCAAAGCTGTTAAAGCACAGCAGGGTGAGGCTAGGGTGTGTTCAGCTCAGCCGTTCATCCAAGTTCAGTAAAACTAGCTTCACATGAGATAAGAAATAGTAAAGATATTTAAAATTACTATAAAAAAGAGAATATGGGCTGGGCTCAGTGATAGCACACTTGCCCAGCATGTGTGAGTCACTTGTTCGATTCTCAGCAATACATATACATAAATTAAAAAAAAAAGAAAGGTCTAGGAACAACTAAAAAAATATATTTTTTCTTATGCCTTTATTTTATTTATTTTTATGTGGTGCTGAGGATCAAACTCAGGACCTCACACGTGCTAGACGAGAGCGCTCTACCACCAAGCCACTACCCCAGCCCCCCCAAACAATATTTTTTTTAAAAGAGAATATGGAACAGAACACATTCCTTCAAAAAAAATGAAAGCATGTCTAAAAACCATGTCTAAAAACCACCAAAGAACTGAAAGAAAAGGCATTGAGAGAAATTAAGAACATGATAGGGGTCGTGAATAAGCAACAAAAATTAAGAGTTGAAAACTCAGGGAGAAACGTGATAGAATTCATCAATGCTATATATCTGATTTTTTTTTTCCGGTTTGCTTTAGTATATTGAACATCTTTCTAAAATAAACTATGAGAAAGCCATTCTAATTCAATGGAAGAGATGCTGAAGGATTCAAGATTAACATCCATTATCAGCAACGTAAAATGGAGAGAAAGATCCGTGAATTGTGCTCGTAGAATTCTGCCGCCATGGGAGACGGAAGGGTCAAGCCGAAAGCCATCAATGGGAAAGATGAAGAAAGATGGGCTCTCAGAGCAGGGGTTTCTGGCTAGAAGCTGTTCTTTGCTCACTGTGTCAATTTTTTCTCCCAGCCTCCTCAGGCTGATTCTCTAGGCTAAGATGGGGTAGATGGTGTTTGCTGTAGTAGAGAAAGAAAGTGGTGGGCTGAACCCAGGGGTAGTGCTGAAAAGCTTCCCGAGTCACACTTGGCTCAGGCTTCTCCAGGGAAGATGGACAGAGGGAAAGGAGGTGCTGGCACCAAGCGAGTAGTGCTGAAAAGCTTCCCGAGTCACACTTGGCTCAGGCTTCTCCAGGGAAGATGGACAGAGGGAAAGGAGGTGCTGGCACCAAGCGAGGGCTCGGTGCAGGGCTCTGGAAAGTTCAGAGGAGCTGGAGGCCCAGGTGGCAGGCAGGACACGCCTGGATAGCAAAGAGAGAGTCTGCAATGCCCATACAAGGGACAGCAGTCCAAACCCTATCATGCATAAGCAGATGGAGTCTGACAAAGACTTGCCCTAACCTGTCTCTCATGTGGGACTGACCTAGCCCTATTAAGCCCTTGGTGGGCAGCCTGAGAGAGCGGGGGTCAGGGTAGCCCAGTGTTGGACAGGACACCATGGGACACAGACCCCATGTGGTTTCTGGCTCATCTCCATCTCTCAAAGCATTTGGACGTGCACACAGCTGGAGGCGGTCTCCCTGGCGGAGAACTTTGGAAAGCTCCCTCTAGTGAGACTGGGCAGGGGTGGCAGGGTGGGGGTGGGGACGGCCTTGAGAAAGCGGCTGAGGAATGGAGGGATCCGGATTTCCAGAGATTTCAGAGATGGTCTGATAGGAACCGTGAATCAGTGCTCCGACTTGGGGCTAATTTGCCGAATGAGGTAGTTCCATCCTGACCTCTCTGGGCAGGGTTGGTCAGGGAAGACAGAAGACAGGCCTTCCCAAGACCCACAGGGATGAAAAGTGGCCAAGAAAAGCCAGATTTGGGCTCCCAGAATGCAATGAGAAAAATAGAGAGAGGGCCGTAAAGGATTCTAGGTGCAGGCTGAGCTGACGGCGCCTTCTATCCATGATTCTGATCCTGACATTGGCTTGGAGGCAGAGACAGCCCTTCCCTGTTCTTCCAAAGCCCCCGAGATAAAGGGACCAGCTGGAGGATGGGCTTTGGGGCTTTCAAGGACACAAGTGTGTGACGGCCACCCCTATGGAACTCAGCAGGGACCACAAAGTTCCAGCCTCAGTTTTTCTCAGAGCAACAAGCACGACATGGGGTTTGGGGGGGGCTTCAGTCTTGGAGACAAGGGCAGGTTGCAGGTCTGTCTTCTTGGCCTGGGAATATTTGGGATTCCCCAACTGAGCCATCCAGATCACCCTTCTGGAATTGCCAGCTCTCTCCTCTCTCCTCAGTGGACAGGAGAGTGGGTGGGAGGGCAGCTTTACCCAGCGGGAGCCACCACCCCCTCTCCATGGGACCCCCCAGCCCCTCTCCTGGACAGGACCCCCGGGGCCGCACAGGCGTGTCTAGATCTCCATGTCCACAGGGCGAATGTTGCCCGTTTTGTGCTCTCTGACCCACAGCTCTCTGTCTTTGGCCGGGTCCACTTTTCGAAGCAGTTGGTCCACAGGCTCGACTGTGCTTTGGTTGAACATATCTGTCTCATGCCGCAGCTGTGTGTACTGACACAGATGTTGCCGGATCATCTCCACCCTCTCCACCTCCAGCCGTTCCAGCTCCAAAGTGGTGGTCACCATCTCTTCAAACCACTTGGACTGGGCCTGGTTGTAGAGGTCCACACAGCGCATGAGGTCATCACCAGCCTGTGTGGACTTTCTCCGTGCCTTCTTGATGTCCTCCTCTGTCTTGTTGCTCAGCTTAATCTCCAGCTGCTGRGTCTTCATCTCCAGGTCTCTCTGCCGCTCTG